AAGAGTGGATCATAGTAGATACATCACAAAAGAGGAGGATAATCTCTTCTTGGTCATTACCTGAGGCGACTCTGTAGGAATCCATATTTTCAAAAAAGTAAAAACTTGGTTGAAGCGATTGCCAAACATTTTAAGTATAAATCGAATAAAATTAAAGGGGATATGCAATTTTTCAAGTGCTCAGACGAGCATGAATAAATTTACACAATCGTAAGCTTTAGACATGTCTTGCATCAAAACCCAAAGAACTTTTTTGTTGACAATTGAATCATATTTAATGTTATCTATGATACGAAGTGGTTCGAATGTTGATTTGTAAGGGAGTCTCGCAAAATTAAGTTCCTTTAAAACATTATGTCGAACCATAATGGTTGAGAGTCTTCTATTCAGTAGTTTGATAAGAGCTTTGCGGGGTATTCTAATAGTGTGATTGGTCTTGTGTTATTTAAATCATATTCTCACAGTTTGGGTTTCAGAATTGGATAGATAAATGTATGATTCTATCGATGGGAAAGTGTAGAATCAGTCACACAAAACTGAATGATATACCAAAGTATTTTATTCATGTGAGGACCCAAATTTTTAAGCATCTCATTCGATACCTTAGAGGGATTAGGAGCTTTACCATTCGGCAAAGTAGCAAGGATTTCATACTATTCATTAGCTGTTGGTAAAGCCATAAGATTATTATAAATAGCCCCATTTACATAAATCCACAGGCTTATAAGATTGACTCCAGTCGTCGAGAATATCCCTATTCTCATGAGAAGTGCCAGCTGCAAATTGAAAGTGGTGATTAGTTGCTTGTTTAACCTGTGTTTTATCCGTCAAGAGATCATGTGATGAAGAGGTTGGGATCAAGACATCTATCCAAAATAATGGTTTTCCTTGAACGGTTGAGGACTGAGTCAATCATACGAGAAGACGCTGTAACATAGTTATCAAGCCTAGACTCAATTGCTTGCTAAATCGACTTTAATTTGAACTCATGCTCATGAAGTTTGGTTTTGACGAGAATACAATTAAGTATTATTTTAGAACAAGATAATAATGATTGTAAAAGGACAACTGAAGAAAGAGGTGGTAAGGATACTAGGTTAATTCTAAACTCCTGAACGAGATCATAGAACTTAATAGAGGATGAAGCCCAATCTTGTGACAAATTATTTGTCTGACATGCAGTTTTGACTTGCTTAATGAATTTATATAAGAAACGAAGTTTCGAATATAATTTGAATAGTAAAGGTGGCTTCTTCAATTTATGTTGACCATTGGATTTATGTAAAAGTATAATTTGATCAGCTGCTTTAATAATGTAGGCTTGCAGCAAGTCCCAATAATGATTGAGTTTTATCTGGTTAAGTTTTGAATTAAATTTAAGGAGGCGCAGTTCACAACTGTTAACCAGTCTATCGAGTTTACTTTTGTATTTAGTTCAAAGCTCCTTATTTATTTTGTCATAATCATACACGGTCTTCTTTGGTATATTATGTTTGTTGTTTTTAATGTTGAGAAAATTTTCGACAGTGCACATAACAATCACATGATCTGAGATTTGTGGTAAAACCAGTTCGGTATTGTAAGTGGTGAAATTGAAAGCAAGTTCTGTAGAGGTCCAAACGAAGTCAATGCGAAATGTTGAGGAGGATGAAGTAAAAGTTGGATAATTTACACGTTCGTTACTATGCTTTAAAGTGAACGCATTGAATAAATGAAGATTCTGAAGCGATGTAAAAAATTCTTTAGCACCGTTAGGATTATGAGGTCTATCCATATCTGCATTAAAATCGCCTGATAAAATAATATGAAAATCCTTTGCCATAGCTTCATTTATAATTTTGATTAATTCTTTCTGTATCTCCTTTTGTTTAACGATATCAGCAGATGGAAGATAGCAGTTGATAAAACATAATTTCTGTTTATTAGGAAATTGGAGATTGACATAAATAATACGATTCAATCTATAATGGTAAAAAAAGACATAGTTGGCCAAAATCAGATTTATAAGAATGCTCACTTCAAAACCAGTATTAGGATTCATCTGATTAGAACTAAAGAAACTTATAAAATTTGAGTGTTCTCTATTGAAGGGTTTGCAATGTTGTTGATGAAAATTAGTTTCTTGTAAACCGATGGCATCTATATTAAGTGAGAAATAATGTTCTACAAGTGTATATTGTTTGGCGATATTAGTGAAGCTGTAGATATTATGTGAGGCAAAAGATAAAAAAGGAGGAGGAATGTGATTTAAAGGGGTTGTGTTAAAATTTGATGCATCTTGTACATAATGATCAGTAGGGACAATGTTCATAAAAAATTAATATTGAGGGAGGTCTTTGATATAACTTTCAATATCAGTATCGAATGTTACACTAAGTGGAAAGATATTATTGGCCTATTTTTAGGGGAGCAAATTATTTTTCAAAAGTACGTTTTGAAAAGCAGTGCATGATTAAACTAGAGTATTAACCGTCGTAGTGAAGGACTTGAGGCGGTTCTGATGCATGGCATTAATATTTCTGAGGCTTTCAATGGTCTTTTGTTGTTTAAGAATAGTGTATACTGATGAGTCAATGGTAGGTTCAATTTCCTCTTCTATTTCACCAGCATTAAGATTTTGTACGTTGGCTTTTACTGGAGTAATGACTTTGATATTGAGCGATTGTTCAACGGATTCAACTCTTTTAATTGTAAATGCTAAATTGCTCATTATGATGCTCAAATTTTCATTAAGATTAATAAATTGGGATTTAACGTATTCTTTGAATTCATCATTATTGTTAGCATACATGGATCCGCCTGCTTTGATACCCTTATATACCTTGCCATTGGGTGTAGGACAAATAGTATTATCGAAGAGGATTTCTTCATTCATATTTGGCAGAATATCGTCAGATCATGAACCAGATTGAGGATTTCATTTGTTGTTGGAATGAGAAGGTGGTTTGTTTCGGTTGTTATTGTTGTTATGCATATTGTTGTTATTATTATTATTCTTTGGTGAGGTAGATTGTTTATTAATATTCGTAGTAGAAGGTGGTTTAGTGACATGGGCAAATTAATGTTCAGGTTTACTGCGTCTCTCATCTTTTTAGGCAGGGTCTTATAATTAGAGTATTGTGCTAGTTAGAATCTTTGATAAAGATTTTGCATGTTTTGATCAGCTGGAGATTTCCTACGTTGTAGACATCCATTAGCTTTATGGTTTGGCGATGAGCAAATAGCACAAAGCTTTGCTTTTGACTTGGTCTAAGTCACATGTTTGCCATCTATGGTAAGATTATCATTGGAAATCACAGCTTCAAAATCATCTGCATTGGCAAAATAAAAAAATGTGTGTTGTAAATTGTGATAGTTAGAGCAAGCTTTAGGGATAACCCAAGCAATAGCGTCAACCATTCTTCCTATTTCCTCAAGTTGTTTACCAGTCGTAAACCTAGGAAGACCGGCAAGTTTTGCTGAAAATTTGGAATGTGTCAGAATATCTGAGCGAGATTAGTCACACATGTGAACTCTGACCATGTCGTTAAGTACGAAGAGACCATAGCAATCCTTTAGTCCCTTGAAATTAGCGTCTTCTGCGAAGGTAATAGTGACTTGTTGCCACATATTCTTTATTTTCATGGTAAAATGGATGATCGTTCTAAATCGAGCAAATGTCATCTTGATCCTGTATTCCATAGAATCCAAGGGGATTTCAGTTATCTTGATCGACCTAGCAGGGACATATGGTTGTATACGCATTACATTGAGAGGTAAAAATGTGCGATTTTCTAAATTGGGTAATTGGACTGAACAAGTATGTCACATTCTTTATGGTTACGAAAGGAAATTTTGATGATACGTTGTGATTGGTCATTTGGGTATTTGGCTAATATCGCTTCTGAGAACAAATCGTATTTGTCAAAAAGCAAATCGACAACAGAAGAGACTTTTTGCTGCGGCGATATTCCTGGAAATTCTTTGAGGGTAAAATATCTGTGAAAAGAAGGCTTTTAACATTCAAAAGCTTGTACTGAAGCCGTATTTTTGTCCAAGAAGTTCTTCGACGCGTCAAAACTGGTGTCAACGTCAAGAGTGGTGGTGGTTATTTCTGGAGTCTCTTTCAAAATTTTTTTTTTCTTTGCCTTTTTTTGAAGGCGAAGTGTCGAGTTCCATGGACATTATTGATTCTGGAGTTTCCGTATTTTGTTGGGTTAGTGGAATATCTACAGTTTGCGTTGTATTTTGTTTTTTGGCTTTTTGCGTTGTTAACGGTAAAGATGAACATCCTCGTTGTTTTTATTTTTGGTCGCTGTTTTTTCTGGTCATTTAGGATAAACAGAAGAGAGTTTTTTTTTCTTCACCAGCGTCATTAGCGTAAAAATTACAATAAACTACTATTGGCATTTCTTAGTGATGTCTTTTATTGGCAACATATTAAACACCTTATAGCAGAAATTATTAAAAGTTCTCTTTATATTTTTAATGATTATTATGTAGAAAACTTTCATAGTTCTATTTGATATCATACAAATAGTTTTAATACTGCTCAACAAGTAATTCATCAAGCAAAAATAATTGATCAAACACGTGATAAAAATTCTTTTATTGAGGTATTTTCAAAAAGTTACAATATTATTTATGAAAAGGAGAAGTTAGAATTTTTAGAAAAAAAATCTGCAATTTTCCTTTTAGATTTATTCCAAAATGTTTGGAAAAATTGTAGATACATAATAAAAATAAAAGTTAAAAAATATTGGCAATATAATTTGCCAATTTTTGGTAAAATTGTGGATAAAAATGTCCTTCTGATGGGTTAAAATTCATCTGTTTTGCTCAAATTAAACAGATTGTGTGACTGGAATAAATGCATCTTATCATCAAAGGCATCGGGTAGTATTTTATTATGTGGTTATGGTTATCATACCAAATGTTTTAATCAAACAAATAAAAGATGTTTACATTACTATAAATACCTTTGCAATAGTATTAAAGATAATTGTAAAATATTTCAGAATATGTTGAATAAGATATCAGATGATGATAAAGATCGTGATGAAGATTTGGAAGATCAAACAAATCAAGATGATAATGATGAGCTGTTTTCTGTTGAGGAAAATATAAATAGAAAATTAGAAAAAGTATTAGAATTATTTAAATTATTTCAATAATATTGTTAGTATCAATTAATATTAATTAATTATTCTGTTTTATAATTTATTTTTTTTATGTGACGCTAATGTTTTTTGTATCATGCGCATAAAATCAAGTGATTATTATGCTATCTCTTTGGCATTTATTTTATTGATATATTTTATCGCAAAATTAACTCACTTTAGATATTCTATTGTTTTTCTTTTTTAATTTATATTTAATTTTACTTTAAAACATTTATTTAATTTATTACTTTAACGTTAATATTTATTTAATTTTATTAATTTTCATAATAGTTATCTATAACAAATATAATCACTATATTAATCGGTTGAAATTTTTGAACAATAACAATTTGATTTAAATAAAATTATAAATATATTTATAAATATATAATAAAAATATATAAAATCTTTAAAACTAATAGATAAACATTTTTTATGTAATGTGATAAATTTGATAAATGATCAGTAAAATAATTGACATATACGTTGTCACTGGAAATAATTCTCCTTATATCACATGTATTTTGCTAAGTTACTTTATTGCAGCACGTAAATTCCTTATCATCAGACTTTACAACTTTAGGGAATCTTACGTCTTACAGATATCTAAAATGCCTTAGAATTACTTCACTTGATTTTACAAACTTAAAGATTTAAGGACTTAGGAAAAATGTAGAGAATTTAGTTATTTTAAGTGATGAACTCAATCAAAAGTTAGTGTAGTAGTTCACGATTAAATCCTAGATAATAGATATATAAAAGAGAATAATAGTAATTGTTTTTCGAAGTTGATTTCTTTATTTATTACTTGAAACTCACAAGTATTTAAAAACTTACAAGAGAGTTAATTTACAACTTGAGCAAAAAGCTAATTTATTTATACAAAATTAATTTGCTACAGCTAACTAGTTGTTACACTATAAACTAACTAAATTTGTAATTACAAATGCTAATATAATGATAATAATAATAATAAAGATAACAATGATAATTAAAATAATGAAAATACAGGAAATTAGAAAGATTTAATGAATCATAATGATCATGCAAATCTGTTAAATCCTAAAAATCCTAAGAATCTGATGGATTTTACAGATTATTTGGTACATTATTTGTCAAGCTTATTATGTTATTATTCTATTAGTCACTGATGATTGGCATAATAAAATTGATTTCTGACGTTGACAATATATAAGTAATTATAATAATAAATCCTTTTGTATAAGTATACCTTTATATAATCACATTTAAGGTTTCGCAATTTGATTTGATATTCAAATATTTGATTTGAAAATCAAATCAAATACAAATACAAATTTATATTTGATTCAATTCGATCAAATTCAAATCAAAG